TACAAATGGTTACACAATAATTAACACGAAAATAGATTAAAGTCGAGACTTTGAATAAAATGCATTCGATTAATTAAGCACTGAGAAACATTTCACGTTACGTTAATTAAAAAAAATGATTAAGATAAACAGACAAGACAACGTATTACAAGTGATCACATGCCTTTAGAGCCTTAATCTCTTTTACTTGTTGGCAAGCTGTCTGTACTTAACACATCAAGCTGTAATTATGCTGTCGGTTAATCGAGAAAATGGAAAGGGAAAAAAATAAGATAATGATGGAAGTGTTTAATTAAGATGTTAATTGATTAGAAACAAGGAGGACAATCACTTTTGACTTTGTTAACCAAGTTTCAAATGTAGCACCTTCCAAAGTTTTAGCTATTTTATTTTTGTGGGAGAGTTCAATCAAATATTGTAGGGTCATCGAACGTATGTTTGGATTTTCTTAACTTATACTTTAAGCTGATCAAATTTTATTTTTACTCGCATATTTTATAAGACACACTTATGGACTGCACAGTTCTATCAATTTATAATTTAAGCAATTCATATAATTTCTAAAAAAAGTTAGATTGAACAAAATAATTGATAAATATTATCATTTATATGTCTCTTTCTACTTGCCAAAAATATCGTAAATGCCAAAAAACTAGGTCATTGTCGTCTTCAATTTTACATATTTTTCTCATTTGTTGCAATATTATCGAAATTGTACAATAGCTATTGTTTGGTCCGGATGCTATTGGCATGGTTGAGAAAAGTTGTAGTACGACTATCTCACACTTGGCTAGGTTCATTAGCCTCCAACACGAAATAAAACTCGTAAAGTATTACTTGAATTCGCGAATCTTAATCTAGTTAGAAATATTCAAAATTCCTAACATAACACATTAAGAGCTTGTTTGGGAGAGATTTTAATCTAATTAAAATTGAAAATATAATCGTTACTGGGTTCTACTCGTCTAATAAAAGTCAACAATAACGACTAATTTTTCAATTTTAATCTGATTTTAATCACTCCAAACAAGCTCTTAACTTATCGACAATAAAAGGCTATTCGAGCCAAAACCCTTTTCATGGTTTTCAATTTTGATCTGATTTTAATCCCTCCCAAACAAGGTCTAAATATAAAAACATATATATTTGATTAACCTAAATTGAGCCATTAATATAGCTAAATACAAGTTTAAGATGAGCACGAAATAAAATTAAGTTTTGTCTTCCCTTTATCTTTTAAAAGTAAATTACTTTCTCAAATATGTTTAAAAGTTAGATTTTTAAATATAAGTATTCTTTTTGTGCTTAACCAAACATGCACAAGTAAATTGGCTCTCAAATTCCCTATTACAGAGACTTCTGTAAATACAAAGAGACTACAAATACGCAGAGCGTTGTGTCTCCAAGTCTCGTTTCTCGGGCCATCCATTTACGGATCCTAAGAATTTTCTGCTTTTTTCCTTTGCCATTCTCCAAGTAGATTTCCTCTTTCTCCCTAATTTAATCCCTCATCTTTTCATTAATTACTATTACCCTCTGGAGTTTGCATTTTTTAATGCTCATTACTCTTCTGTGCTTTCTCTCTGAAGAGAACAACCGAAAGTGAACGCCCTCGATCTGTTGCCAGTGAACCCATGTGAGCAAGTCGTTTTTACCCTTTGAATTTCTCATCCTTTTTTCCCCATAATTTTTTATGTGAATATTGGATATGTTAAGTGCAGATAGTCGTTAATGGGTTTTCATTTTTCAATGCTAACTGAAATGGGGTCTTTCTAATTTTGATATATTAAAAAAGGTTTCATTTTTCTATGAAAAAAAGTAATGAGCTTTTTCGTGTAGGAAGCTATATTTTATGGGAGACCAAGTTCAATGGGTGTTGATTGGTGTACATATTGGATCTATTGTTTTTTAGTAGAATATTGCTATTATCAGTATTATTTGATTTATATTCTTGTTGGGAAACTGGAATTTTTGTTTAGCTTTATTTTAACGAAACCTTGGTTGCTGAGCTTGTGCATTATTTAATTATTTTTTAAATCTTACTTCTGTTGTCATTGTTGTTAAAGGTTTTACATTGGAAGATTTTGAGTACATCGCTTAGAGCTTAAAGCAATTGGTTTCTTGAGGTGGCTTTCAGTTTTTTCATGGATTGAATTCAAGGAATATGGGTAGCTTTAGCGACGCGGAAGAGGAATCTCTATTTTTCGATGCCCCCGACCACATTGCACCAGCATTGGAATTGGGTTCTGACTATCCTAGTATTAATGATTGGAAATATGGAACGTGGATTAGGAGTCCTCAAAGTGTTAGAGAGCGTCGCAAAAAATTCGTTAGATGGATGGGATTGAGCCCAGATAGGTTGGGAGACAATTTAGTAGATGTATATGATGATGAATGTGGTGTCTTTAGAAAAAAAATTGATAGAATTTTGGAGAAAACTGGGGCTGTAGAGAAAACTTCAAATTTTGAAGATAAATTTTCTTGGAGCTGCTCTTCTATGTCAAGTTGGACCACTGATGGTTTGGATTCATTAGGAGTGGGTTCTAGTGAAAATTTTGCATATGGAAATGGAAATTCAAACAGTGGAATTGAAAGTAGTGCACATGATTTGGGGGAGGATGGCAGGCTGAGAAAACTTCAAGTTGGGGGATCGGACCAATTGCAGATACCTAAGGAATTTAAGAATATTTCTCAATTATCTCCCTCGTCACAGCAACTCGTGCAGAGAGAAATGGAGTTTAATGGAAACAATGTGAGGGTAATGAGTAAAATGAATGGCCGATGGTTGAGTAGATTGCGATCCTTCACATGCATGATGAGTGGGAATGAGAGAGGCGATAATCTACAATCCAATATCTACAGCCGAGCTCGGGGGACCAGGGTCCACAGAGTCAGGGTTCGCCATTGTCAGAGGAGGCTGAAGGAACTCTCAGCTCTCTTCTCAGGACAAGATATTCAGGCACACGATGGGTCAATATTGGCAATGAAATTCAGTCTTGATGGACAGTACCTGGCTAGCGCTGGTGAAGATAAGATTGTGCGAGTCTGGCAAGTGGTAGAAGATGAGAGATCAGATAATACTGACATTCCAGATGTGGATCCGTCATGCATGTACTTCTCTGTGAATCATCAATCTGAATTAGCACCTCTCGCGGTGGAGAAAGATAAAACTAAAAAATCCACGAGTCTGAAAAAAACACCTGACTCAGCATGTATTATCCTCCCTCCTAAGGTTTTTCGAATTTCGGAGAAGCCATTGCATGTGTTCCAAGGACACACTGGGGAGATCTTGGATATTTCATGGTCGAAGAATAATGTGAGTTTACCTTGTGCTATTGTATTATTTGTTTTTAAAAATTATTAGAATTTTTTTAAAGAAAAACTTGCTTCCGTGCAGTGTCTTCTTTCATCATCAGTTGACAAAACTGTTCGTTTGTGGCGGGTTGGATGTGATCAGTGCCTCAAGGTCTTTTCACATAGTGATTATGGTATGTACCAGGCTGTATAATTTGGTGACTTACAAGAAATGGCTAATTGTGGATTTGAAGAATAGCTCAAATACAAAACTTAAATTCCATTAGAAGTACTGAATTCTTTCCTAAAGAAAAAGTTGATGTTATGTAGTGACCTGCGTTCAGTTTTACCCTACGAATGATGACTACTTCATCAGTGGATCAATAGATGGGAAGGTTCGCATTTGGACTATCAGTGGCTGTCAAGTTGTTGATTGGACTGAAATAAAGGATATGATAACTGCTGTTTCCTATCGCCCCGATGGAAAGGTCCGTTGATACTGTTACTTTACACGTTTTGAACAAAACTGTGAGCTCGAAAATTTCTGAGACATACTAATCCTGTAATTCTTTGCTTGTTATGTAGGGTTGTATTATTGGCTCTATGTCAGGCACCTGTCACGTTTTTAATATATCAGGTAATTTGCATTGAATTTCTGGATGTTTCCGTCTCTTTTCACGGTTTTCTTGTTCAACATGGTGGTTAATTGATCTTGTGTGTCATATAACTGAACGGTTTGTTTATCCTGCTCTGATAGGATATATATAACCTGTTTCAAAAGTGTTAAGCTTTGGTTTTGGTGGTGAAATTCTGGACATCCGACTCCATACTTAGTTTCCCGATTTGGAACAATTTTGGATGTATACATCATGGTGAAATTTTACCAGGATCAAAATTCAGGGACTGCAATATGTCCTTTTTCAGTAAATTATTCATTTCTGATTGGCATTTGATATAGAAATAAAGAGTTGGTTTGACTTAGAGATGCTCGTCTCTGTTTCCATTCATGTAGAAGTTCATGAAAGTGTTGGCATGATCGGTTCTTAACAGTGTATTACATTTGTGGTCTTAAGCTCGCTTAGCACGTGTCTATTATATTAAACTTTAAGCACAAGTATGATGAGGAGATCTGGAGTCTCAATTTCCAAGTCTTACGTGGTTATATAAAACTTGAATTACAGTTCAACACAATGTAGCCACAGTTTTTTACCCAATTGCCAACCTACATATGGGTTGACGCTTTTCTCTCTTGAATCAGATAATCACTTCGAATTGGAAGCTCAGATGTGCCTAACAAATAAAAAGAAGTCTCCCTGCAAAAGGATAACTGGCTTTCAGGTAACCTAAGTTGCCTACCGGAGTTTGTTATATCACATATGCTATTTATTATTTCGTTTCGTTAATGTAGGATGCTAAAGCGTTTCTAAATTTGATGTTTGCCGAATGCAGTTTTCCCCCCAAGACCCAAGCAAAGTGTTGGTCACCTGTGCTGATTCACAAGTTAGAATTCTTAGCGGGATGAATGTGATTGCAAAATATAAGGGTATGCATTCATGGCTTTCGAAATTACGTTAGATGAGTTGTTTGATGATTTGACAGTGTCTATCTAGTTAATCCCTTTTTTTTTTGCAAACGAGTTCCTTTTATTTTGCATTAGTTTCTGCTATTTTAAGGACATGATTTAGGAGCATCATACTTGAGAACTCAAATGCCTATGGATGTGAATAATTTATGTTGCCAAATAGCCCGGCCGTGATTATATGATGCCATTCTTTAGTGATATGTTTCAGACCCTTGTTGAATTTTATTGGTTCTTACTCACAGCTCCAAATTATTAGAATTAACTCTCTTGGTTTCTCTGCTCTAGGCCACCGAAGATGGGGGAACCCGATGTATGCATCATTCACTTCAGACGGAAGACATATTGTCTCGGCGTCTGAGGATTCTAATGTTTATATGTGGAACTACATTGGTGGGGAAAAGTATCCTGCTGCCTCGCGCCCAAAATCCAGTAGATCCTTCGAGTGTTTCCCGTCTGATGCCTCCATCGCAATACCTTGGTCTGGCTTGAAAAATGGGCTCACATCAAGCGAAGTCCAAGAACCTTCAAATGATTTATTGCCTTCCTCATTATCCACCCGTTTTTCTTTGGGACAAGAGTTTTTCTCAGACTCCAGCCCTAAGGGTTCTGCAACTTGGCCCGAGGAAAAGCTTCCCATGTCTAGTCCCCAGTCCGTGACATCACCAATGTGTAAATCTAGATACAAGCTTTTCAAGACTTCTTGCCAGAGTTCATCTACTTCTCATGCCTGGGGTCTAGTGATTGTTACTGCCGGGTGGGACGGTCGAATTAGATCATTCCACAATTATGGATTACCGATAACAGTTTAAGCCAAGGAAGCAGTAATTATAATTTTGAGGATAGAATCTTTTGGAGTTGTGCCTGTCAAGTCATCCATCATTGGCTTGGCTACAAAAATGTTTATTGTATGCTATGCTGGCACACACGGTCGATGGCCGGACCCAATCCATCCATGTTGCTATGTCTTCAGATATCTGAGGATGCCGACCCAGTCGGCCTGGTCAAATTGTAACACAGCTGCCAATCAACAAACAGATCAGGTTGCCTTATCCACATTATGGTTGGTCAGCTTAATTCTAGTATTAAACTTTGGCTCGAAAAGGAAATGGAACCTATGATGTGATGTCGATTGGAGAAGAATATCTGCATGATGGGATGTGGTTATGGGACCGTGTACAAACTCTTCCATTTGTTCGTTGCAGTGGGACTCAGTAGAGCAAGAGCCTGTGGTCGAAATTTTTTTGGAGAAATCAGTGGGGAACGCTTTCTTTTACATCTATTTGTTGACTCGTCTAAATTATTAGAGTTGTTGTCTGCCATCTTTGTCCAGATGAAGGTTGTTGGCCATGTCTCCTCGTGGTGGGCCCTTTTTCCGGTGGATCAGTTTCATGCGGAGGTCGGACCAGCAACTGGAGACAGGCTGAGTCAAGTGGCATGATAAAAACAATGTTTGTGGCACTAACATGGTTCGCAACCGTAATTTTTGCTACGGTGTTAGGTTTAGGAGATTTGAATCGATAGGAGTTTACTTCTTTTGTACAGGATTCACTTGTTTTTTGGTGTATATGATCCAATTGAGATGCAATTATTCATATGAAACAAGAGAATAAATTGTATATTTTGTCCAGATGGGTGCCCTTATATTTACATTTAAGTTAAATGCAAAAACCTTAAACTCTAAAGAGGAACAAAGTGAACATTTTAATTTCAAATATATATAAAGAAATAGAAATGCAGCAGCGACAACAGCGCATCTAGTGTAGTGGTATCATAGTACCCTCCCACGGTACTGACCGGGGTTCGATTCCCCGGATGCGCATTTTATTTTTGTCTTTCAACAATTTGTTGTACTTTTTTGGCCCAATGAAAGACAAATGATTACACAATTAAAGCCCAATCCTCGGTCCAAATTTAGGCCCGGTCCAGTCCAGTCCAGTCCAGATAGGACTGAACTGAGCTCCACTTTACTCTCACGCACGCTCACTCCAATTATCTCTAAGTTTTAGAACAAAGCCATATGCACAGAAAAAAAATTTCACAGAAGTTTTACACAGTCACATGGATGGCCTTTAACTTATGATGAGTAATTAATGTCATCGGAGTGAAGATCTCCTGGCTTACTAGTGGAAATATTTATTTTGTTGATGTGTTAGGCAAGCATGGCAGGAATTGGGCACCATGCCTCCAGAAGAAGCCATGCAAAAATACACTGACATTGTTACTGAGTTGTATCCCACCTGGGCTACTGTTGCAGCTACTGTGAGATCAGAATCTTTCTATTTAAATTGCATTGCACCATTGCAAATTTACCAATTCTTTTACATATTTGCTCTAGTTTTAATACACAGTCTATCCTTAATCTGCTATATACTGATGACAGAAGGGGAAAAATAAACAAGGCAGTGATCCGCAAGTGCTGGCTTCAAAGGACCAATAGGACCTGTTTTTAGCAGTTTTGTACACGAGGATGAACCTGGAATTTAATCGTAAGGATATTGAACGTCCTTTATATGTTTGAAGTCCCACGTTACAACGAATTGTGTTTCTATTGAAGTCTGATCTGTTTTTTCCCCTTCATGATGGTTGTGTTGTTAGAACTTTATTAAAACTTTAAACCTTATGATCTTGCCAAGATCTTCATGTCAAACCATCAAGAAACTGAATTAACGCGGAACATACCTTAATCAATTGATTTCTGACTTGAATAATGAATCTTGAATCTGGATCTGTAAATCTTCAGTTTGGTTGCTTCAAATCTCCATCTTAATTCCTGATTGTGGGTTTTATGGATCTTCCTCTTCATATGCTTTCTCTTGTATTCTTGTGTTGATGGGATGCCACA